TTCGTAAAAAGGAGGCCACCCCAAGGAGAGCATTCAGCCTTGGACCCTCTTGTTAGCCGTCACAAAGTCAGAGATGAGTCCTTTTCCTGCCCTGCAAGGTTTCTCCCCAGGACAAAGAGAACCCACGCAAGAGGGGGCAGCAGGGTTACCTGGTGGTCCCCTTTCCCAAAGCACTGAGGTCCCCCTGGCGCAAACCAGTATCGAATGGGAGCGACGCAGAAGGTCAAACCCTGAGCTCCCCAGAGGAAGGAGCGAGAGGCTGCTGCTTTGGGCCTTTGGTCTTCAAAATGCAGAGATCCTCGGGTGCCACAAGGTGGCACCCGAACCTCACAGCTTCTGCAGCGCCGGTTCCCTTTTCCCACGGAGGTTAGGAAGTAACGTTTTCCCCAGGTTTGGGGGTCTCGGCAGGGCTTGTATTTATGAGTACTCCACTCAGCCATGTTGGCTTGTATCGGGGGAAGTCTACTGCCCCCGGAGAGGGTAACCTGTGTGGTCGTGTGGCACTCCTATTAGAAGCAAAGCCAAACCGGGGCTGTCTTGCCCAGGAGGCGGCTTTTATAACAAAAATACATGTTTGCTCCAACACAAGCCTGAAATTGACCAATGGCTACAGGGACCCTGTGCCCTTTCTTATAGGAGCAGCCCTCTATTTCAGAAAGCTGCCCTTTAAGATTTCTTTAATTATTCATTTCCCTGGGTTCGCTCTCGAATTTTCCTTTGTAGAGCAAAGTTATAAACATAATTAATCCTCATGAACCTCTTTCAGATCTGCCCCTTTTTCAAGTTTCTCCTTTATTTTTTCCCAAGAAAATATGGTCACGGTACCAATGACCAAAGGGTCGGGTGGGGTGTCGATCTGTGAAATTAGGGGGTTTGCTCCCGCTTTCTCTGTTTTTTTTTTTTAACTTTCCAGTTTCATCTACTCCTGGTGGTCTCCTCTCCAAGTACTAACCAGGGTTAGCTGCTTTAGCTCTTCAGGCTCAGGGAGGGTCACACCTGTCTCCACAGTTGACCCCAGCACTATCTGCTTTCTTGGTTCGCCTTTTGTGTTTCAGTCCAGCAAATATTGCAATCAGCCAATATTGATTAAAATACACGCAATAAAAAGGACAATTAAAACATCAGAATGAAATCAGAAATGAACGGATCCAGCGTTTAGCACAGCTGGGGAAAAAGAAGAAATGAAGGGTCCCCCCCCCCCATCTCGCCTCTGTCCTGATTACATTCTGGTTCCAGGTAGCAAAACTGGAGTTTCATTGGTGTTTTCCTGAACAAACCAGAATAACAAAACAAGGACGATCCTTTATTTATTTAATTTATTTAATTTATTTAA